CGGATCTGTATTGGTTGATATCTGGAGTCAAGAGGAAAAGAGCAGTCTGAGATGAACTAGTTTGTAAAAATAAAAAGCTTTTACCAGTTTTGACCAGCAGATGGTGACGTTGAACTATCCATCACAACGTAAAGGCAGGTTTAAAGAGACTGAGGAGCCGCTCACAGACCAGTGAAGGGGCATTTCGGTCATATTTAAGGAAACAAAATCCAGCTTGTGTCAAATGTCTTAGATATATTGAAAGCACTGATAAGAGGAGTCATAGACACATGTTAGAGAGAACTGTGCTTTAAGAGAGACACCGAGTATCACAGAAACCGATGAAGACAAAGGAAGCCAGGTCCAGCACAGAACTAGTGTTCTGTGGACTTCCCTCTACCTGCAGTGCTCAGTGCAGATTACATGATGTAACGCCGGTCGTGGACTGGCGCCTGTGTGAAACTGCAGATAATTATTGTAATTGCAGCGAGCAGTTTTCTCTGTTCCCCCAGCAGCATCCTCATGCCTGTTGTCTGCCGGCCGCACTGAGGACCTGAGGATCTCTGTCCTGCAGGCGGGGCCCTGGACGCACACAGAACCGGTCCATATGGAGCAGGGTAGAACAGGACCAGGACCACCACAACTGCAGGGTGGAAGGGTCTTTCTCTAACTCATATTCTACTCTCCTTTACTTTCTTTTTCTGTATGTAACCAGGAAGTCTTCGAGATTGAAATCTCTTTTCCGAGGGAGACCTGGCCTAGACAACACACAAAAACAAACAACAAAAATACATTGTACATACATACAAATTCATTTTAATATTAAAAATTAAAAATAATAATAATAATAATAATAAATATATATATATATATATATATATAAGTATATAGAAATATTTAAAGCATGTCAAATATAAATGTAGGGTCATTAACTTTGAATATTGATTTGTTTTTTTACCTGTGAAAACAATTGTCGCTGATACAGATCGCGCGCGCGCACGTGCGTTTTGCATTGCCGTTTAACAGACTATTGTGTCGGTGCGCGCGCTCTGTGTGTGTGTGTGTGCGTGCGTGTGTCGTCTCGGTGGCGCCATGTGCCTTTTTGGATTGCTAATTTGTGTAAAGGGCTGTCCGCTCCTCCTGCCGGCGGCAGCAGCAGTCTGTAGCCCGGAGGGAAGCGGCTCAGCGCGGCGTCAACCTGGCTGCCAGCAGGATGACACTGCAGGTAGCTGCTACCGACGGCCCGCCTCCACCGACCCGCCTCCACCACCGGCCTGCCTCCGCTCACACACTCTCTGCTCATAGAAAGGCAACGGGCGGACTGCAGACACACCGCTATATATCACAGTGCCAGTGAACCCTCGCATACATTATCCTCATCCTCTCCGGCCCGCTGCTCTAACCCGTCTTTCATTAAGCTGTGGATGTCTTCACCTGCTTTGTAAGTGAAGTTGCACAAACAGCATAAAGAACGAGCTTCTTTCATATTTAGTACACAAACAGGATCATTTAAAACATGTAAGTTACACATATGTCAGTGCACATTATCAAATATTTCGATATTAAACAGTGAAGTAATCTCAGCGTCCACTCTGCCACAGTTCAGTCAGCCCACAGTGGGGCTGAGTGGGGCTGTCCACTGTCTGTGTGTGGGACAGTTAGTCAACCAGTGGAGTGACTGCTGCCCGGACCAATGGTATCCAGCTATGACATATGGAATATGGTATTATGGAAATGAAGGACGATGAATGAAGAGATCGGCCTGAACTGAGCCATAAAGCCAGAGAGTGGCAGACAGAGCAGAGCCGGAACATGGAGGACTTACCTTACAAAATAAAAGCGCCCTGATGATAAATCAGCAATCAATGACTGAAAGGTGCAGAACATCATGTTGAAACAGAGGACATACGGAGTAAATACAGCAGGGATGAAAGAGTAGCTTGAGCGTGGGTATAAATCAACACTGTGTGTGGTGATGGAAGTCAAGAAGGTGTAAAATGTGCTGCCATCAACCAAAAATATTACACTGGGTGAACATAAAGAAACGTTTTGCACAAATAAATAGCCCCCCTCCCACAAAAATCTCTTTTAATTTGGAAGTACTCACTTGTTACTTACAATTCTTTACTTATCATAATTATACATTTGACTTTATTTGTCTCATTTAGTGTACTTTAATGTTGTCGTTGAGTTTTATAGTCTTCTTCCTATGCATTTCTTTTTCTTATGTTAAGCACTTTAATTGCCTCTGCGTCTGAATGGTGCCTCGCTGTGCAAATAAACTTACCTTGCTTTATTTTGAAAGGTAGTGCCGGATACAACGTCGCTACGTATTCTGACCAACTTCTCTCTAGGCGGTCGGACCAATCAGACTGGAGGAGGCGGGGCCCCGTCAGACCACAGCTATTTCTTCTGTTAAATCTTGTCCGTCCGGAGTCTGCGTGCAGTCTTTGGTCCAGCGGAGTTGTCTGTCTTTTTCTCAACATTTCTCCGTCCAGGAATACAAAAGTGATGCTTCACCGTCACCGGCCGCACACAGAGGCAGAGAAGGACCGGCGGTGACAACTTTACACCCCGTTTTCACAGACTTCCAAGGAGTATATTCCTCTTTTTTCTCTCTTTCGGCTTGGAGAAGACGCTGTGTTTCGCGTCCTCCAGTAATGTCGGACCGCTTTTAAAAACAAACTTTTCTGTCTCCATGCGGGAGAGGAAACCTTTCGGAGTGATTCTTTGCCACTTTTTGTTCCAGTACGGATTGTGAGCTGTCGTGTTTCAGTACAGGAATGCCTCACTTTTCGCCGTAGCTCCATGTAAATCTTGTAAATCCAGCTCTTCGCCCAGCGGACTGTGCTGCTCCTGGATATACGAGGACTGTTTGCGCAGTAATTTGGTGTAAATGGATCGCCAGTCCAGTTTCATTTCCATTTGGCTACAACTGGAGCTCTGTGCCATGGCTGTTCTTCTTACTAAAGGTATAGACTTTGGTCTGCGGGCAGGGCATGTTTGTTAACTTCTTCAAATCAGCCTGAACACTATTTGTCAATGATAAAACCTCACTCAGCGGCCCTGACTGGAGTTTTAAAGCAGCCAGCGTTTGACTAAATGTCACTTTTATCTAGACACTAATGTAACATTTAACCCGTAAAGTTGTTCCAGCTAACAGGGGAATGAACTACTGAGCAGGGCTGACACAACTCTACAACTCTACTTGTTTCCATTGAAACTTACCTGTTAGAACCATTTTAGTGATTGCTTTAACTGCATTGACTGTTTAACACCTTTTTACTCATGGGTCAAACCCTTAAATAGCTGCAGTGGAAGAAACACAACCACAAATACTGACTCCTTTGGAGGAAAGTCTTTCCCTTTTCTAATAATTATGTCGTTTTTCCAGATGAAACAATAATATTCAAACTACTGGAAGCATCATGAATAATGCACAGATCCTGTCTCATTTTGCTGCTACGTTTCACACGGATAACTCCTGTTCAACTGGGTTTTGAAGCTGCCATTCATAGAGGGCTGAGCAGGACTAAAAAGCCCCAGTGCCAGCCTGTCCCCCCCCTCCCCTCAGCCCACAAAGGGGCCTCTCCTTTCTAATGAAATATTGTCCAAATGACCTGCCCGGGCCCTGCTGCTCCAATCATTCACAGGGAAAACACTGATCTGATGAATGTGCTCCTGCACCGAGGCACCGAGAGCAACACAGTGTGTTTCTGCAGCTCAGCTTGTGAATGCAGCAGACGCAAAGACAATGGACTTTTTATTGCCCTGTCCATGGAGCTATTCCTGCTCTTTTGCTGCTTTTTGTTTTGCCTGTATTCATGCAAAACAGCCACCAGCCCAAGGTTGTCAAATGAAAATGCTTTTGTTTCTGGGCAGGTCCGTGGCCCATATTTTTGTTTGGGGAAGTGTTTTTAAGGAGAAGCCAGGGATGAGGTAATGAGTGGGCCCGTGTACGAGCAGGCAGCCGTAATGATAAGGCTGCTGGAAGCTCTTTAGATGGGACCTCAGTGCACCCTGACCCCCCAGGCACTCCTGACCACAAGTGAAGCTTTGCGTGCAAACGGGGGGTGGGAAGGAGACTCCTGCGCCGCGCTCCGGCCCCCCCCCCCTCTTTACGAGTTTCCTATTGGGTTGAAAGAAATTGACTTTGGCAAACAAACCACTAATTATAAGCTGCTCGGTGGCTGTCTTATAATACAGACAGAAAGGGCCATTTTGCATGAAGCTCTTAAATGAGCCCAGTGTAGTTATTGAGTTGGTGCTAAAGGGGAACATTCCCGTGAGCTCTTTACCTTTACCTGGCTGTTTGTTGCAGGGCATAGAGGACTTTCAAAATAAAAGTATAGTAGACCACCGGCTGTGTTTCACAGTCCCCAAAACAGCGTTTTGTGGTTGGGTATGCTTTCATACTGCTGGCATAACTGTGTACTAGTAACTAGTATTATTAAGCAGCTGAAATGAACCATCTTGATGTTGGTGACTGGTTGAACCCTTCTAAAGAGTTGTCTAAAGTTGTAAAACGTCCACTGTTGGCGAACGTTTCCCTAACCCTGTCTTCTTCTTCTGCCTGCATTCTCAGGAGAAATAAGGTGTTACTGTGACGCGCCGCACTGCGTAGCCACCGGATACATGTGCAAGTCAGAACTGAACGCCTGCTTCACCAAGGTCCTGGACCCGCTCAACGCGAACTCCCCCCTCACCCACGGGTGTCTAGACCCCATCGCCAACGCGGCGGACATCTGCAGCAGCAGCAGCTCGAGGAGCGCGGACGCCCTCAGCGGGGCCCCGGCCACCACGCTGGAGTGCTGCCACGACGACATGTGCAACTACAGAGGCCTGCACGACCTGGCTCACACCAGGGACTCGACAGGTAAAGAAGGAACCCCGCAGAGCTGAATGCCTGGCTGTCAGGATGTTTGCTTTTCACTGAGGCTGAAATATGAAATTCTCTTTAACTGGTTTTAAAATGATTGGACTCTCTGGGGGGAATTTACGATTCCTCCTCAGCAAATATTCAATATTTTCCTCTTTCCTGTTCCAGAAGCAATACGTTGAGCTGTAGGGTTCTTCAAACACTTTGCTGTTTATGGACATGCAGGCCACCCTTGCCCCCCCCCCCCCC